CAATGCAAGATGTTTCAGCAGGTTCTCCGAGGGAGCAGTTTTTAATATGATGGTTGTGAGTCCATACAACTTGTCACCTCCACCACTGAGAATTGCTTCTGTAGCCAGACTTAATTTTTGCCCCATTCTTCCCTCCACCTGAAACAAACTTCACAGAGTACTTTGCCAGATCACTGGGGCATGAACCATCTTTTTCTGCCTTTTTGAATAGTACCTATGCCAGCAGGGTGCTCATCTGGGAAGGGGACACACAAGGCATTGGAAAGAAAGTATAATTTAGGGATAGAAGGTTCGTAGCTGAACAGAATATGAAGATGGTGAAAGTACCTGCTTCTCCTAATGAGGCTGCATCTCCTGAAATGATAAGAAGTTAATTCACGTTCTAATCAGTGAAGCAAGTCTCAAATTTTGGAATGCTTTACTAGGAATTTGATTGGTCTAGATATGTACTGTAACAAACCGAATTCATGTTGTTTGCATTAATTTAACCTTTAAAATATATACGGAGAATGACAAATGAAATTACCTAAAAGAAAATATCCTTGTTAAGGTTTTGGAGTTCACCCTACAGGGAAATGTTAGGACCTCATTGTTAGATGTTTGCATTAAGATTATTTCCTAATTTTCTCAGGCCAGATAACAAGGTTACTTCTGGAGCAAACTATGACATTTTGAGTAATGAACTTTATCATCTAATAGATAAGCATGGTCTTTGTTATCATGCAGTGACTGAATGGATTTTACATACAAGAACTTGAAGTCTGCTTGGGTTGATTTTAGCACTCTGTTTGCCATTCTAACATTTTATGATGCAAATTTGTTAAGGTAAGAAAGACTGAGCAGAGGATGCCTAAACCATTATCAGCTATAAGATATGCAGCCTGAATATACTGGAATTCAGGCACTGCTTTTGCCCACCCCCGCAACCTGTGGGGATCAGGAAGCTGGTCTTGAGCTTTGCTGAAGACGGGCATTGCCCCTCTTTCTGGTCTTTACTCCAGCCTCCCTCTGCCATGACACACAATCTGGCTTAACTTCTCCTGAACACTCAGAACCAGATTCTCCCTGAATAAGATCCTAATGGAAAAAGCCTCTAGGTGTTTACTCTGTAGTTACAGAATACAATTGCGTGTAAGTGTATGTACACGGGGAATAAATAATTCTCTGTTGTCTTGCTACATGTGCATCCTCTAAATCACTGTTTTATCCCCACTAATGTAACTAACTTTATGAAATACAAAGCATGGACAGCCCAAACCATTTAGAAGGCTTTCTTCAGCAGGCTAAAATTGGTGGCACCCTAATGATATCTGTCTGAATTTTGTAAAGTAAGGATGTTTGATGATCTGTGGGCAGATCAATAATTTTTTTTTTCTTATTGTTTGATCTATGTGTTATTTTTACAGGTACTATGAATTAATGCAAGCATTCTGTCACTGCAGACATAGAGAAACAGTAATAATGCTTCTCAATTAGTCTTTTTTTTCTGAAACATAGTCATGGCCATACTGTACAATCAGCAAAGAATGATTTTTGGAGACAACACCCTAACAATATTTTTTTTAAAGTTCAGCAACACACCTCAGCAGAGATCAAGTTATTACAGAAATCATTTGGATGCTATCAATAATGATGTTTCAAAATGGGATGTCATCTTCACATCCACTTTCTCATCACAGTGCCCAAAGCTGTCTTGCTTCCCTTTGCAAAGCACATCTACTATGTTTAATCTGAGCTACCTGCATTTTACAACTATGTTCTACAGGTGTAAATGATTTCACAAGATGCAAGACCCTATACAAGCAAGAGATGCTGAATGCATCTGCCAGAAGCAGCTTTACTGCAACCTATGTTTTCAGTAAAAAAAGAAAGGTGTTGAAACCGCAAATTTTCCTACTACATACAAGCTAATATCTGTATCTTCATTCAGACAAAACCAAACAGACCTTTTGCCTAAAGACTTGTTACCAAGCATATCTGAAGCACTGGAAAAACCCAGGAAAAGCCCAGCACTTGGTGTCCCCTCATAAGTGTGGGTGAAACCATCATAGGATTCTTACTTTTTCCTTTCATTTTCTAGTATCCTGAATAAATCTTTGAAGTACTGGGGAACACGGACAATCACATTTTCTGAAGGACCTATATCTTTGAGCTCAGGATAGAGTCTGGTGTCAATCACCTTCTTGATGTATCCCAACCAGTCAAACTGCAATGACAAAGAGAAGGCTGGTTAAAGCAGATTATGAAGAGAGATGATTTATTAACAAAGTTGCACCTTTGAGACTAATGGTTTCAAAGCTTTACTTATTAAAAATTTAGAAACTATTGCACTTTGCCATTACATGTGTTTTCAAACCTTAGTAAAGTCATAACTGTATTTAAAAGAACATACATTGTAATTGAGTACACACATTCCCAGTGATATTCCTTTAACATGCTGCTCTGCACACTAAAGACAATTTAAATTATACAGGACAGACATTAAAAAAATCATTTTGTAATTATCCCAAACCAACCTGTGGAATCATGGCACTAAGCTCGGATATGTTCATTTTATTGTACATCACCTCACTTGTTCGATTTTCATATGGAATCATGATCTGGGGGAAAAAAACAAAACAAACAAAACCATCAAAACAAGGATTATCTTGCAGGGACCTGCTCTTACATCATTACTGATCATCATAATCCCAGTGCAGAAATACCTCAACACCTGTTTTCCAAGCATTCATGGCATTAACTTCCCTTTCTGAGGACGGCATTTAACTAGGAGAAATGGAACCTGGTTCATTGTCAGTTTAACTCACTACTGGGGAATTTAATGAGCTGCATGTCTTCTTTGAGCATATTAAACCAATTTTAGTTCTGATTATACTAAGGAAATGCATGTTGATTCATACGAGATAAAAGCACACCTAGACCATTAATATTTATTCATCCTGTCATGTCAGGTAAAAGCCAGCTCCAAATTATATGGTTTAAAAGGTTAAATCTGAGATAGGTATGCTGGAAGCACATCTCAGCTTTTGGATTTGAAACATGTTCCTTGCTATGGCCTGACTTCAGCTGAGGGAAGAGCCAGATACACACAAGTTTCTCTTCATTTTACCCCAGCATCCAAATTTCCACAGCAGAAAACCTGGTTATACAGGCCAGACATGAATTAAAGCATTCTCCAACCAGGCCTCTCATCTGGGTGACCAGAGGAGCCAGACCTCAGGATCCTCTGTAGTGCCAAAGACCAAGGACATAGCAAAAGAAATCCTAAATATAAATCAAGTCCTTTTATAACTGAGAAGGGATATTCAGATTCCAAGATGGCACTAATAGAAAAACAAACCAAGTACAAGATATAGGTCAAAAGTTTCTCATGTTTCAAGAGAAACAAGAATTCCTGATGGTAATTCCATCCTTGCTCTGAGGTAAATCCTATACAACAGGCTTTACGCTATGCAATCTAAAGAGGACAGAGTTGATGCCAGACTAACAAGACAGCTGGTAGTTCTCCAACCAAAATTCTCCAATAAGTGTCTGTGGTTTTACTATTGCTCAAGCCACACAGAAAACAGAAATTACTTTCCACTCCCCTTTCTGCAAATGTCATTTATCTGACAAGTCTTTAAACTCTTCTTGAACCCATTTGCTCCCTTCATCTCAAAACTTTCCCTCTTCCTCCAGTTATTCAAAGCTGCTTGAAATCTTCCTTGTACACAACAAGCTCTCTGGAAGTACACCAATCCTTCCTATATCTAAAGTGTATTCTTTTTGTTCTTGCTGCCTCTTCCTGAGACCACAAGTTCTCCATTATGTACGTTCACTTAAAATGAATACAAAGGAGCACAAGATGCAGTAAAAGACCGAGTAACAAACAGGAGTATCTCCTTTGCAATCACTGTAAGATGTTCATATTGTTCATTGTGCTTATTAGGGACCATGCAACAATCCATGTCCCTGGGCTCATACCTAATATCTGGATATACTTTGGGAGGATTATTCATACTAAAGGGAAACTAGGTAACCGTGAGCAAGTATGGCTTGTTGCATAACGGTATGCATTACTGATGCTGAAGGCTTTTACATGATCCATGTCATCTTAATATGGCAACTTCACCTATATACCTCATGGATTAGAGCTCTGTAAGACATTCATTAAGTAAAGCATTAGAGCTGCCAGAGGTAGCAATGCATCTTCTTATCCCATCACCAATAAACAGAAGAAACTTTTCCTGTTTTTTGAGTCTACTACATCACACCAAACTATCTGCTCATTAGTCCATCCTGGCCAGGTAATTGAAGCTGAAAATTGAGCTTTGTTTAGAGGTTTGACAAAATTTCATCTCCTCTTTCAGCGGATAGAGGGACACACTGACTTAGTACTGTTGTGGATGGCCCTCAGTTCTGCACACATGCACCAATAAGAAACATCGCTGCCTTTCCTCCTGTAGACAGCAACAGAAGAACCCAGGCAAAAGTCATTTTCTGCTGCATCACTGGTGCTATGCAACAGTCTTCTCCGTTAACAGGAGACCCAGCATTTCACAGGAGAGAGTGGGAAAGATAGCTTCTTTCCCTGGCAATATGAAGAAATCCTCAACTGAGTTCTACAAACCAGTGTCAAGTTTGTAGTCCTAACTTTTGCTGGTTTCCCGACGCTGAGGCTAAGTCTTCTCTCTAGCTTTGGAAGAAGTGGAAATAATAGTGGACTTGCAGCTCCCAGGAGCTGTATTCCTGTAGTAGCCATACTGAAACAGGGATATGGGGAAGCAGAAATGCTCCTTTGGCATGCTACAGTCCTAATATGTAAATTGAACTCCCCAATGGGGCAAAAATGTCACCAAGTACATTGGTCAGAACCAAGTACCAGATTTAAATCTGCTTAGCTTTGCTAAGTTCAGTTGATCCCCTAAATTAAAACTCATGAACTTTCTCATACACTCTCCCAGGGTACCCCATGAAAGCAGCTCAGGACCTAACTGTGGTGCTACTGTAACACCACCACCCTCTCACTACCAATCACTAATACCCCACCTCAGTCTTGTACTGTTTTTAGACTTAGTCTCTTCCTCAGAGAATCGGACCAGTCTGCTTCTTGAATACATGGTAAGGTATTCACAACATAGCTGCACAGCAGGGACTCAGATTCTGCCCAACCTCAAAATAAAGAACATATTAACAATTTAAAGGACCAAGAGTATTTGGCTAAGATTTTTTTCCCTTGAGAATAAAATAATCAGTTTAACAATTATGTAAAGGATGAACATTATTCATCGTTTCTTTATCAGGTTCTGGTCCTTTCCTTCTACTTCCAAAAAACATGATTGCTAAGGCTGTTGATAAAATGGCTTTCCATTTTGAAACAGGATTGCACTTTTTTTAAAAAGCTAGCCTCAATCACACATTAAATTACCAACCTCAGCTATTTTAACTTCCAGTCTTAGAACTGACTTCATATCAGACTCTGCTCGTGAAGCATTTGCACCCAGAAGCACTGCTGTATCAACCATAAACTGCAAAAAGGCATCTCGGTACTGTAAAGAAATAAAAGAAGAGTTAAATGACCCCCAGATTTGCACTGGAGCACAGCTGTAGCAGTAGTCCAGAAATGCCCAGCAAGGAGTATAATACTTTGTCCTTTTATGCCCTAGCAACCAAAGTTGTGCTTTCCTTACCTTGAATGCCTGCTGTTATCAAGGAGAAAAGGTGAAATAGCACTGTAAACATGCTGTGTGTGACAGACAGACCTGCTGCGGTTCACACAGTATAAATCTCAGGAAATGCAAATGACATTTCTGGATTAGACTGACAAAACTGACAGCTCTTACAGTGGGATTAGACAACATGTATGAGTGCATACCAATATTTTACACCAACTCATACAGTAATCGGTGTACGACTGAAGAAGTACTAACATATAAGTGCAGGCTTAGTGGCTGAGAAGATAGGGAGATAAAGGGATGCTCCACTGAGCTCTCTCCTCTACTCCTGCCACAGCACTGCAACACACGTACCTGCTACAGTGCTCTGCTTTTCCCGGGCCATCCTAATAAAGCACATTTTAGGCTCAGATTGTATACACAAATCTTAGCAAAATATATTGTATGTAATGATACCATAGCGATTTCTGTGCTACTTCTCCCCCAGCGTTATCTTTCAGAGGTTTTTGAGGGATCAGGTTGCTCCTCATCAACTCCTATGAGCCCGCAGTCCAAAAAAAAGCAAACACATATGCCAGCATATTACATTTATCTTTCAGTAGATACAATTATTTGGATCCTGGCATCATCTGGTCTGATAGATGTGGCTAAAAAACTTCCTAACCTCTCAGGGAACTCAGAAGGGAAGCAAAACTGTAAAATCTTAATCAGTAGCCATGACTTGTCCACCCGAACAACCCAAGGGGTTGTTTTATTTGATCTTTGGGCTGTGTGTGCTGGATACTTCCCACAGGCCTTCACCGAGCAGGGGGGAAAAAGGTGTTTCCGTTGTCAAATATTGATACATTAAAGCCTTTGGTAAACATCATCGGTTCATGACCGCTTTCCACAGAAAAGCAGCAAGAAACTAAGATGTAGCAGAGAAATCATAAAGAGAGGAGGGAAGAAGAGGAAATGAATACTTGAAATCTGTTGAGGAACTCTTGTTCCCTTCATTAAACAAATTCAGGTTAACTTGATGGTAATAACCTGCAGTGACTCTCAAAATGTGCTTGGCCTTCAGGCTTAATTGAGCCCAAGGGACAGGCCTGGAGGGCAGCTCACCGAGGCAGACCACAGACACAGCATCTTCTTGGCTACAGTTCGTTGAGATATTCTTGAGTGTCTGGGCACTTTGTCCACAATCTGGGAACTCCTGGGTCTCCCCTAGGGGCCATGAGGGCTCCTGCTGCTGCCAGGTCAGGTGAGGCTGCCAAACAGATGCAGCAGTTCACAGAGGAAAGGCCAGCAAACTTTGCCTGGCACACCTATCCTTAGATATGGTGGTCACATGCCACAGAGGACATGATGCCAAGGCACCACTGGTGTAACTGACTGTTTGTTATCAGGTTCTTGGACCCAGATGGTGCTTCATAAGGAAGGATACAGCTCTTCAAGCCTCAGGCCGCAGGGAGTGCCTGAGGCCTCTTGCTGAGGCTGGGGCACCATGATGTTCTAGCATGCAGGAAGTGTGCAGTTGTTGAGGAGCTGTGCCACCAAATGAAAGAGCTATGAGAGGTCAGCAGACCACACAGCCTCAGAGGGGATGAGAAAGATCAACCAGATCTTCCCTGAGACCCTGCAGCTTCAAAAGTCTGCAACTGCAGGCAGAAAAGTAGGAGGAACTTGTGCCTATGAAGCTGGAAAGTGGAAACTCCCATTACAGTGAAGGTTGGAAGTCCACTGTCCTTGTAGATGATGAGGACCCAGGAGCACTTTTAACTGGAGCATCTCCTGTGGCTGCGCCTGAGCCCCTCAGGACCACTAGAAGGAAGAAGCAAGCAACAGTGGTAAGAGACTCATTACTGTAGGGGATGGAGGCCCCCACCTGCCAATCTGATTTGTCTAGGGAGGTTTGCTGCTTGCTGGGGTCTCACATTCAGGATGCTGTGGAAAGGCTACCAAGGCTTGTCCAGCCCTCTGACTGCTATTCACTGCCGCTCTTTCTGGTAGGCACCAATGCTATTGCCGGGGTGACCTGGGAAGTATCAAGCATGACTACAGGATTATGGGAACAGAGCTCAAGGGCATGGGGCCCAGGTTGTGGTGTCCTCACCATCCCCTCCCTGCTGGTGAGGGGCAAGGGCCTGAGGAGGACTTGATGGATTCTGTGAGTTAACATCTGGTTGTGCAGCTGGCATCAGCAGCACAGATTTGGTTTCTACGATCATGGTACCCACTTTGAGAATTCACAGTGGTTTGAAAGAGATGGGATCCATTTGACTAAACAGGGCAAGAGTATCTTGGTGTCCTCACCATCCCCTCCCTGCTGGTGAGGGGCAAGGGCCTGAGGAGGACTTGATGGATTCTGTGAGTTAACATCTGGTTGTGCAGCTGGCATCAGCAGCACAGATTTGGTTTCTACGATCATGGTACCCACTTTGAGAATTCACAGTGGTTTGAAAGAGATGGGATCCATTTGACTAAACAGGGCAAGAGTATCTTTGCCAACAGGGAAAGCTTTAAACTAGAAACAATGGGAGAGGGAGTGATTCCTCAAAAAAATAACTAAGGAAGGTGAGGATAGGGTAGGTAAGCCAAGGGCACAGCGTGGTGGGAAAAGAAGGGACATAGCAATCAACAAAACAGAACTGAAAGGGAACAGCTTTGAGGGTAGGTGTGTAAAGAAAGAAGTGCCTGCACCTTAGCCTTATAGGGAAAGCTCTCAAGGCCATACTGAGGAATCAGCATGACTGGATGTCCCTTGGAAATACCTTTATACTAATGCACACCGCATGTGGAACAAAGAGGAGCAGTTAGAAATCTGTGTGCCGTTATATGGCTATAACCTCACTGGGATCACAGAACCATAGTGGGATAATTTGCACAACTGGAATGCTAAAATAGATGGATACAAGATTTGTAGGAAGGACAGGCTGTGAAGGTGAGGAGGGGGAGCTGCCCTTTATGTGCGAGACCAGTGGGAATGCATCAAGCTCTGCCTGAGCTCCTCCAAGCTCAAGAAAAGTCCATCCTAACAAGTAGGAAATCAAGTAAAGGTGCTACGAGGCCTGCATGGGTGCACACAGAGCTCCTAACTGAACTCAAAGATGAGAAGGAAGTGTATAAGAGGTAGAAGCAGGGACAGGTGACCCAGAAGTACAGAGCTGCTGACCAGTCTTGCAGGGATATAGTTAGGAAAGCCAAGGCCAACCTGAAGTTGAATCTGGTGAGGGATGTGAAAGATCAATAAGGCTCTACAAGTACATAACAGCAAAAGTCAGACTAGGGAGAACAGGGCCCTGCTGCTACATGGAGCAGGGTGACAAATGACATTGAAAAGGCCAAGATACTCAATGCCACCTCTGCTCCAGCCTTTACTGCTAAGACTAGCCTTCAGGAATCCCAGGCCCCTGAGACCAGAGGGGAAGTCTGGAGCAAGGAGAGCTTATCCTCAATGGAAGAAGACCAGAGTAGAGAGCAAAGAGGACATAAAACCAGGGAGTCTGATAGGTTGCACTCATGAGTGCTGACAGAATTGGCTGCCACATTGCAAGGTCATTCCAAATAACCTTTGGAAGGTCATAGCCACTGGGGGAGGTTCCTAAGAACTTGAAGAGAGCAAGTATCACCTCTATCTTCAACGAATGCAAGAAGAAAGATCCAGGGAACTAGGGGCTGGTCAGCTTCTTATCAGTCCCTGGAAAGGTGATGGAGAAAATCATCATCATCATTTAGAGAAAAACTATTTCCAAATACATGAAGGACAAGGTGACCAGGAGTAGTGAGCATGGATTTATAATCACACTTAGCCAACCTTCTACAATTACATGAATAGCTTGGTGGGTGAGGGGAGAGCAGTTGTTGTTGCTCACCACAACATTATTAAGGCTTTCAATATTGCCTTCCTTAACATCCTCAGAGACAAGCTGAAAAAGTAAGGGCTAGAGAAGTGCACTGTGAAGTGGATTGAAAAATGAACTGAATGACCAGGCCCAGAGGGTCGTGATCAGCAGCACAAAGTCCATTTTGAGGGCAGTCACTAGTAATATACCCCAGAGGTTGACAGTGGGGCCAGTACTGCTCAATTTTTTCTTAATGACCTGGATGTTGGGACAGAGTGCACCCTTAGTGTGTTTGCTGATAGTACAAAACTGGGTGGAGTGACTGATGCACCAGATGGTTGTGCTGCCATTCAGAGGGACTTTGACAGACTCGAGAAATGGGCCAATGGGAATCTCAGTAAGTTCAACAAGGGGAAGTGCCAAATCCTGCATCTGGGGATAAATAACCCCAGGAAAGAACACAAGCTGGTGGCTGACTGCCTAGGAAGCAGCTTTGCAGAAAAAGCCCTGGGGGTTCTGGTGGACACCAAGCTGAACATGGACCAGCAATGTGCCCTTGCAGCAAAGGCTGCCAGCAGCACCCTGGGCTGCATTAGGCAGATTGTTGCCAGCAGGTTGAGGGGGGTGATCCTTCCCCTCTGCTCAGCACTGGTGTGGCCACAGTTGAGTGCTGGGTCCAGTTCATGGTTCTCCAGTACAAGAGAGACACAGCTGTACTGAAGTGGGTCCAGCACAGGGCAACAAAGTTGATTAAGGAACCAGAGCATATTTCATACACTGAAAAGCTGAGAGATGAATACCTGATGGGGAGAGAATAAAGAAGCCAGAGCGCCAGACTGTTTTCAGTGCTGCCCAGTGACAGGACAAGAAGCAACGGCAGAAACTGAAACATTAAATTTCATCTGAACACAAAAAAACACTTTTTCACTGTGGGGGTGGCCCAGGTTGCCCAGAGAGCTTGTGGAGTCTTCAGTCAGGTTTTTAATATCTCCACAGATGGAAACTGTCCTGAGCAAGCTGCTGTAGCTGACCCTGCTTGAGCAGAGGGGTTTGACTAGATGAATTCTAGAGATCCCTTCCAAGGGGAAAGAAAAGCAGGAGGGGCCCCAGATCTTACAAAAATCTTCATTTGAGAAACTGCAGGAGGTTTTGTGGTAGTGGAGTTTCCTCATAGAAGATATCCTAAAAAATCTAACTCCAAACAAGTTACAACCGTTTCTTAATTTGGACCTCAACAAACAAAAGTAACAATGAAAAAAACTGAGGGGGAAAAATGGTCACTCTGACTTCCAGTTACTAATACTTACAGATTTAGCTTCTGTGGTGTTTTCTAGGTAATCCTCTCGAGAAGCAAGAGAGAGGCTTGCTTGATCGAGCTGTTAAAAATAACAACACAAAGCATTTAATAGGTACATTCATCAGAATTCAAAGGTAGCCCTATAAGCAGCCTTGGCAGAGTTCATGCTTTTCTGGCAATTATGGTAGATGTGTGTAAATATCTAATACATAACACACTGCACCAGCCTGACTTCCACGGGATTTCAAAATAACAGAAGAATGCTATGCTGTGCTGACAGACATTACCTAAATCACACTACTGTGATCTGGGGAGCCTCATATGCCCCCTGCAATATCTGAGCCACCTACTACAGCAAAGAATCACCTACGTGATTTACGTGTTTTATGGCTCCATTAGCGAGTAGGTAATGCAATAGGACTGGGTCTACAGGATCAAACAGTTTGTGCTGACAGCCATTCATGCCATACATATTCCAGGGGCACAAGAGTCAGCTTGAGACAAACTCTAGTCTAGTGTATGGACCAAGAGCCCATTAGGTGCTGAAGCATGTTAGCTGCTGTGTGCCTGAAAAGCATCGTTAGCTGCCTTTGACTGAAATTGGAGCTTCACCCTAGACCAACACTGAGTGCTGCATTTGGCTTTTTGAATAGATGTACCGCAACAGTTGCTTCTCACCATTTTGATGTTCCAAAATTATAGATTTGATGCTGTATTTGTTCTTAAAATATAAGTCTAGTGAACAGAGATTGTATTTATGCATATAATTTCTCATAAGTCTTTTTTAATCTAAATCCTACACCATTTATATTTCACATTTTCTACATTTATAAAAATGACCTAAACAAATACAATTTAGAATCTAAAATTAATGAATAAATGTCATCTTCTCCTCTAGTGGCTGATGTTCTCAACCTGTAAAATATACTATAAACAAAATAAAACAAATCTCCCACTAAAAGGAGAGCAGTAGTGATTCTCAGTGCAACTCCAATTCTTTGGAAAACAGCATCACCTTCTTTTTTCAGCATATTGAAGCCAAAATAATATACTCTTATGCTTTGCATATGTGTGTCCTGGTAATAGTTAACTTCAGATGATTTGGTCTATTTCAATTATGTGACTGTTGCATAAAATGCTCATCCAACTTTTCCGGGCTTAAGAGTTAGATTTTACAGCCCACTGAAACCAAGAAAGGACAAATATGAGAAATAAACAAAAAAGTTAACCAACTTCTTCAGTCCTCAAGAAAAACAGATCATGTTGAATGCTGAACAAAGGGTGGGTTGTTTTGGGTTTTTTTAGCTTCTTCTCTTTTCTGATCCATTCATGATTTAGCAATGCTGAACAAAAAGAATTTTGCAATAGAGCTGCTTTCACAAGCAGATTGAAACACTCTGTAGTATATCTGTACCCCTGGGAATTTATTAAAACGCGGACAAAGTAGAATACTGGCTGATGCATTCTGCAGATCAAGTTCTTAATCAAATTAACAACAACAACAGAATACCCTACAGAATAATATGTTATTCATAGCATGTAGTGCTTCAGTTATTTAAATACCTAATTCTTAGGTGCCACTAAGCATACTGAGTGAAGATACTGGTAGGTATAATTAATTTCCAAGAGACCAGCAGTAAGAGTATATCCACCCAGCCCTCCACTGGCAGATGATTTGGACTGAAATGTTATGACAGGAAATAACTAAATATCTCTCCTGATTCTACTGTTACAGTTCTTTTAAACAAATCTCCAGCTGAAGCAATCCTGACAGCATCTGAACAGCATCTTAGCAGAATGACATCTTTAATACAGCAAACTGTTGATCTGCTGTTGACTATTCCAGAAAATGTGCTAGAGATGGGAAAAAATTACCCTTCAATTTCATACCAGTTAAGTGCCTCAGACAAAAGACATTTTAAAGAACTAACTCAGAATCGACACCCACTCCAGTACCGCCACAGTTAACTGTTGTTTGATCCCCAAAAACAATGTATCCTTGGCTATATTCCCACAGCTAGTCAGGATGCTAGCAACATAAGGATCATAGATCCTATTTTGCTGTGATGAATGGCATCATAACTTTTCTCTTTGTCCCTTCTCTCTTGCGTTCTTAAACTATTTTCTTGTAGCAGTTGAGGGCTGGTCTACTCTGGCTACTCATCTCTACTTCTTAAACAACAACAGCGCATTTGGCCCAGGCACCTGGTCTTGCCACGGTGACATCTTACAGCAAGACCTACAATTCTCTCTGGAGTTTTGTAAGACTACAGTGAGGCAATATTTCTTGTTTGGTTTTTTTTTTCCTCACTAAACTTTTGTGTAATGCCATGCACTGTTAACAAACTGGTAATGTTTTGGTTCAAAAGCAATAGCATTTAAGTAAAAAGGCAAATTCTGTATTTCAGGTTTAGAAGTGTTTGGAATACACCTGTGTTGTAAGGTGCTGTATAAGCACAAGATAACGTGTTTTCATCTGAAGAAAAAATAGCTCAAGTTCAAAATATCTGCTACTGATGCATCGTTATTCATCTTCACAGACAAAAAACATTCTTCATGCAACTGATAAGTCATAAGCAGCACCCAGAACACCCCCAGGACTGGATATCCACCTTTCTCATTTTCACGCACATAGACTCTGGGACATTGGTCCACTGGGGACATATTTTACCTTTTTTTGCCATTTGAAAGGAGAAAAAATCCTGTATGGAAATATTTTCAATAACATGTGGTTCCTAGTGGCTTCTACATTCCCATAAATTGGCACCTATGTACATCTGTAAGTCAGTAGATAACAGGCACAATAATCAAGTGTAAACATTTGTCATGTAAATATGTTTTTTAAAAAATGAGATCACAAAATACCATGCCAAGTCACCTATTAGATATGCTATCTTTTACCTTCAGGATATATCGATTGGAGATTTTGTCATCAGCAGCCACATATAAACGGATGAAGACAGAGTTACTGTGTTGACCGCGAAGAGTTGCCAAGGCTTGGACTAAGCTAAACCTCCTTTCTGACCACAGCCCTTCAGGTCCAATGTTGGATTCCAGCACAGGCCAGCGGAAAGGTGAATGCCTCAGTATACTTAACAGGGGTTTCATGTCAGCTTTTTCAATTTTATCTGAAATGTCGAAGCGTGACAATTACATCCCAGACAATTCAAACACAGCAGCAGCCACATGAGACACAAAGATTTATCAGCGTCAATGGATTTCTAGGCAAGACAAAACACAAGAACTGAAAGCCAAAGCCTCTGCTCTGCCTGTGAGCATGGAAGCGCAGGAGTCCAACCAGTTTATCTAAATTGAGAATAAGAGAGGTAAATCAGTTCCTTTCAAAAAAGACAAAGGGCTGGAATTAAGTCAATTTAAAAACCATTCCTCACTTAGGAACTAGCATAGAAACTTCACTGGTTCTGAGAGGAGATTATTGTACATAATTTTACATAATCAAAGCCAGAGGGGTCAGCATCTCGGCACTGAGTTATGTCCGGCACCGATGTCTCAATTGCTGACATCCAGTCTCAGGCCATGCTGGAAGAAAAGTGCTCAGGAAATAAAGTTTGAAACAGTCAGAAGGACAAAGGGTACTTTGAAAACAAAGTCCACTCCCTCCAAACCCATCTTTCCCCCATGCAGCTACATAAAGGTAATGATGTGTCCCAATCTAGCAAACATCAACTTACAGCAATATTTACAAGCTCAGGAAAAGCTCTCCACAAATGTGGCTATAGAGCTCCCCGTCCAAGCTTGCTTGACATCCAGATAACTCGAAGCTAAAGAGTCCATGGCTGGCTATACCCAGCCCTATGGAAGTGTTTTGATTAAATGTATTTAGAGAAAGGTAGAAGGTACTGAGCAACAGGCTCGTGAAAGTGTGAGTATGAGAATTTCATCAGACAGCTCCTCTGATTTACCAGGCACTACTCCCACACCCCCAGGGCATGATTTTGACTTCCTTTTGCACAGATAAATATCGCTTCACAGTTCCCTGACAAGCAGACGCCTCTGTAAAACTGACTTCTTGTGCCTTGGCGTACCTCAGTCTCGACAGCCAACTTCAGAAATGTGTAGAAGACTCTACACATTCAGTTGAATCCAAATGAGTGAAACCTGTGCATCTGCACAAAACTTCACAGAGCTCATCAGAGAACAAAAAAGCCTCCTTTTATAAACACAGGTAACATGTACATGTCCCCTTCAAATTAGGCCACTTACTCTCATTCATGCAGGATGCGTAAAGGATCTTGGCCTTCTGTACAGCTTCACTGTCTCGTCTTTTGCTGATGGGTTTCTCAAGCAACGCTAAAAAAGAAATGACATTTTTTTCAATACGTTAGAAAATGTAGGAACTGTTTGCCTGTCTCAGCTTTTTCTTTAATCATAGTATTTGTTTAATTAAGGATGAGGTTCCACATGTAGCTTCTTAAGCAGTAACACGGACATAATTGCACTTTTTTCAATCCCCAACAGAGAAGATATTTTTATTTATTTATTTATAAGAGGACTGTTTTAAAGCCAGTCGACAGATATTGTTTATTACTCATCCTCACAAACAGCCACACTCAGCAAGCTGAGGGGACAGTGAATCGTGGGGCGAGGGTGGGAACCAGAGCACAGGGCAGGGAATCAGGAATTCTTTCAAGTGGCTCAGCCTCTGGTGTTAGTACGTTGTGAAATCGGGGTCTAATGGAGAAGGTGACAGGATCCCAGGAGCAAGACTGCTGGTGTTCACTTTTGCCAGCTCTGCTGGCAAAGAAAGCAGCAGAGAATTGCCACGTTGTCTGCCAGATGCATGCAACTCAGTCTTGTAAATGACACAGAAGGCCAAGTGCCCTACTACTATTTGAAAAGATGCACTATATAGTTCCGTCACACTATAGGTGTCAACATTGGTGCCTGAAAGCCAAACTAGCTTTTCTAAGCTCTCTCTGCATTCCTTGCATTCCTCACATTATGCTATGGAAGTGAAATAGCATGAAAAGTGCATCTGAATCTCAGCAGTCTGCGCTCAGCTGCCTCGAGCCATTTTACCCAAGTTGTAAATCAGCCATGACGCAGCTGCAGATACATCTACTGTGGCTAAATGCAGGAGCAGCTCAGCTTCAGCAAGATCTACCAGCTCAGGTGCAGCACAGCATGAGCACTTCCATGGCCAAGAGAAGCAAGGTAGCACTGAAGCATACCACAGAAACAGGGCTAGCAAACCCTGGCGGACCTCATCTGGTTTTATAAGGCCCCAAACCGGTTCTGCACAGCATTACCTGGTTGTTACTGGGACCACTGGAGGAAGAGTGGCTTTGCTGAAACCATCCCAAGTCCCTCCTGTGGTATGCTCAGCCAGAGCTAAAAAGCCTTGAAAAATTGAAGAGTGCCCTCTCTATACCATGATCCCCAGTGCTGTGGGTTTCAAATAAGCAAAGGCGCAGTGCAGATTGGCTCTGCGTGGCGATGTGCTGGGGCTAAGAAGAACGTCCCACACAAAAGGGGGAACGAAGCGCAACGCAGGAGTCCCAGTGGCCTGTCAAAGCAGAGGGCCACTAGGACTTCGTAACACCAGCCATGGCAAAACCAAACAAACCGCTTCCACACAGAGCTTAGTCAGGTGTCAATGCACCGTTACTCCCCTCTGCCGGTACCGGCTGGGGGGATGCAGAGCACTGAAGAGGTGCTGGTGCTGCCGTCCAAGAGCAGCACCCTCCTGAAAGTGGGCGGCAGCTGCTCGGTCTCCAGCCCCGGCCCGTTCCAGCAGCTCGACAGAGTCCTCCCTCCGATGGCACCTCTCACGGGAGGCGAAAGTCCAGATCAGCGGCACCACTAGATTCGACAGCTGAGAACAGCTGTCTGTCTGGGCTTGCGCTGCTTCACTCAGTATTAGGAACCCACTGCTGGAGGTAGGATTTACAGACACTTATTTCCCAGGATTTGCGAGCACCTTGAAGAACCTGTCATGCTGCACCTCTCAGATATTCCCCACCTGTGCTCATCTAAGCACCTACACTGTGGGGACCATACCGCTGACCTCAAACTGCTCATTAGTCAAAGAAAATCCTAGTGACGAATAAATGCCACTTGTTCTCTCCTTCTAATCCTTTTTCTCCTTTAAAGAAAACCAAAACACAAAACCAAACGACCACAACTCATTTGCTTGAGAGCTGTAATGAGATCATTCCTTTTTAGTTATGGATAAGCTTTTCACTAAAATACCGCTAGACAGGATTCCCAATAGCTTTGGTTTCAAATCCTCAAATTGTTAATATTCCTCAGCTTGTTAAACACAATATAATACCGATCATTGACACATATCTCCAGTGTGCACAGTTCTTAGCAGAATAATCAGTCCTGTTCACATTTTAAAAATGGCGTTTTAGAAGAAACTACAAAGGAAGCCTACAAAAAACTAAGGATGAAAAAATACACTCCTATTAAAGCCATTGCAATAACTTCTGTTCCTTACCAGTGAGCTGCACAGCCATGAAATTTTGAAGCTAATAAAATTCAGTGGTTAAAGTCCAGCTAAAGCTCAGGAGAGATGCAGAGGATGAGATCCAATAAAATCAAATCAAGTCTAGGAATACAACTGCATAAAATCCTGTTAAAATTATACCTGTTGTTTTCCCATCAAACCCTCATGCGACAGAAGGAAGCTGTAACACTCCCTGCATTATTGCAAAGACCAAGGTGGGGTAGGTGCTGCCAGTTTGCTCAGAATTAATTAAATGAAGAAAATCCTTGGTTATGATGACATAAAATCCAGTGATCAAACATGGAAGCCTTAATAATGGCTGAATCCTGTGGACACTGAAAGAGGGGATGTGATCCATGAGTGCTCTTTAGCCTATAGAGGCTCCTCTGCCTCAGCCTCAAGCTTCCAGAAAGGTTTAGGAGTGCAAACCTTGAGCACTGGTCAGATCCCCTTGACTTCTGCATTAGCTAATATAAAATCCAAATACAAGATTTAGAAATTAATTTCTTATTTAACTCACAAATACATATGGCTTTTACATGTCCTTGAATATTTAAATTCTTCTTGGAGAAGAAGAGGAAAAAAAGGCCAGAAGCAATGCCTACTAATCAAAAATACGGGTAAATCAATGAGTCTATCTACAGGTTGCTGTATCCATAGAAAGAAAGTCACTACAGTGATTTAAATCAATGGAGACACATCAAGATATCTTTAAATCAGCAATGTCAGGTACCGCAATTAGCCTGGCCATAGTAGCAGGCTGCAGCAGCCTCCCTCCTGCACGGGGCGTATCTGGTTGTGTGGGTCACTGCACACTGAGCTCTGCAGTGCTGCATTAGGAAGGGCTGCAGCTCAGAGTCTCTGCTCTCCAAGGACCTCTGCAAGTTGAACAGACCTGCCTCAGGGCTATCCTATGCTCTCACCAGCACGGAGAGGCACTCTCTGAACAGTGCTCTCTCTCTTGATGTGCAACGTGGCATTTCAGGCTGTCATCTACACTAAGGGAAATACCAGCCAGTGACCCACGGAGCGAGCAAATCCAGCCCCTCTGAAAAAATTCAACCCTTTGCTATAGCTGTCTGGGAGGACTGTCTTTCTACCTTGAAAAATTTTAATTGCTTCAGCTATTTTCTGTTTGGGCGCCAGAATGAAAGCCAAACCTATGAGGTCTTCCAAGGGATAGGAAGAAAAAGATCACCCCAGATCATTAATTCAGCCTGATGAGATACCCACAGACCTGCTGTTGAGTCCCCTACTCTGCCTTTCCAAGCACTTGCTCTCATCCCTCCCTAGAGGATTGTGTGTATTTTTGCAAATCCACTGAGAAGTTCAGTCTAGTAGGTTTTTCTTAAGTCCGGTGGCTGGAATTAAAAACTGTGGCCAAGTTAGGGAGATCAGGGTTACCAACATTTTGACTAAAGCAGCTCACTCAGCACTAAGAAGGACATTGAGTTTGTTCTCCTTGCAGCTTTCTTCTTTTTTTTTTTTTTTAACTCAGTTTTCTTGTTTCAAAATGAAAAGCTCCAATTCCCTAAAGTAATATTCCATTTTAGGACTCCAAACATTAACTGACTTCAACTTGAATCTATAGACAGTTTCAACAGACTAAAAAATATATCCTTCACCAGATTCACTGATTGCAGAAGACATTTTATCCAGCTTCTATCAGCATCTTTTAGCTTATTTTTTAAATAAGAATTTTTAGAAACAAATGGCTTTGACCAGACTAGGAAACACACAGCACTCCAACAATATTTAAAAAAAAAACAAACAGCTTGAAATAATAGTTCATTTATTAGCTCCCAGTTAAATGTTACAGTGCTAGAGATGGAATAGCAATCTATCTGAAGAGATTAAAAAAAACCCCAATCTAAGCTGATTTACAACCTTCTGAAAGAGCACAGGATCATTATTAACAGCAACCACCATTTAACAGCTTATTGCTGTTACTGATTTATAACACTAGCCTGCCACAAATGCAAAGCAGAATATCACAGCCAAAAATCACCAGGACGAGCAAAGTGAACCAGCATAGCTTAAGCCACTTCGAACATAAAGTCTGAGATCATGTTTTCTCAGACAAATATAAAGTACATGTTTGAATGGCTGTTCTAGCAAAGCAGTTCTTCTTCAATCATATTTTACTTCCTTTACTTTTAAATTAATTCCAAAGTCATTCTCTTTGGGATAAAAGGGATCTTGGCCTGCGCTACTGATCTTCGCACCTCATTGGCCATGTTTCTGTATTCACAGGATGCCCAGATGCAAGACTTATGTTTCCCTTCACGTAAAACTTAGTTATGGCAAGTGTCAAAACCTATTGGTAATTCTGCTCCACCGCGCTGAAATAACGTAACTCAACTCATTAAGCACCTACCACCTGCACAGTCAGAAACTGGCTAAAGGTGTTCATGACATCCTAAACTTTCTGAGGTTGCAAATTGCTTTATTGTTCATTTTCTTCTACCAAGGGGCTGAGGGCGGGGAGCTTCCCACTGCAAATCAAAGTTCTTGTACTTCTGGCAGCCGAGGCCAGGCAGGTTTGCATCATTGCTCTCCCGGGCTCTTGTACAAAACACAAAGGCTCAGTGTCACCAACAAAAAACACTCCAAAGCTGGGAATGATCCTCAGTTTTCTGAATTGTAGATGCTCAGATAGCCAAGGGAAAAACGCCACAGCTGGGGTGGGCGGGGAGCTGGGGTTGGGAAGGGAAGGAAGTAAGTTTATATTAAGTTGCTTTCAGACAGTTCTCTTCCAGCACAAGAGGGCTAAAAAAGGCCAGCTTCCTGTGGTTTGCTACCTTACGGTAAATAGCAATCATCTGCTGTCAACAGTGAG